TGCTTTGAAGGCTTTTCCTTAATTCATTTACTAACATGAACACTACAGTCATACCCTAAGAACCTCCTCCCTATCTCATGCACCTATCACGCTGTGTTGTATCTTCCTTACTGCCTTTTCTTTGCTTCAAAACTATTTTCAAAACTATTGTTTTATCAATTCATGAAAAGAGCCAATTGCAAAATCACAAGCTTCACACACATACATTCTCTCTGTCTTAATCATAGCTTACTATCATTCATTCACTTTATCAGACTTTAAAATGGCCCTCATAATTGTCTATCATTTTATCCAATTTCATCATCAGTCAATCATGCAACCATACACTTCACTGAACTTCTATTAACCGTTAAAAAAGTCTGTCTCTGCCTTGCTATCTTTCATTCACCAAAGAAAGGTTTAATTTAGTCCTCTTAATTCCCCATCACCCCCTCTTTTCATTGCTAAGCAAATCCCATTATCCCTCGTTTCACCAACAAACTTCCCGTTACCTTGATCATGGCCTGCGTTTTTCTCTGCTTGCCATGGTGCTTCATGAAGAACCTGCGATCCGTGCGAGCAGGGTTGTACGAGGCCAAGTAGGCAGAGATCAGGAGGAACTTAGAGTAGAAGGGGAGTTCGATCTGGATGGGAGGAGAGAAAATGGAGGTATATGCAAAAGGGACTCGCAAAAAATGGAGGTATATGCAAAACAGACTCAGAAAAAATGGAGGAATATGCAAAACGGACTCAGAAAAAATAGGGAAATTCGCAAACAGGATGGTGGAAATGATGAAATGGTGGATACAAAAGACAAGCAAATGGGAGAACATGTGAATGGGAATGGAGATGTAAATGCAACAGGAGAGTATAGGGATGGAGGATACAAAAACTAGATCATAAAAAGGAAAAAGAAAGTAAAAGATGAAAAGGGGACAAAATACGCAGTAGAGATGGGAGAAGAGAGGGGATGACACTAATGGTAATGTGGATGAATATGCTCGAATAGAATATAAGAACCGAAACAACAATGAAACGTTGGATATAAAAACAGGAGAATAAAAATGAAAAGGATATGAGAAGGTAATAAAAGATGAAGGAAGCAAAAAAAAGAAAGGAAAAACAAAGTAATCACCAATCACAAGGAACTTCGAACAAAAGAGTTCAACACACATGGGAAAAGAGGAATGGAGGGCATGGGTATGACGGTTATAGTGGGACACAGACCCAGTAGTCTTATGTGTCTGAAAGTGATTATGATAATGATAATAACAACAATAATAATAATAATGATAATAAATGTAAACTGTTGGCAAGGAAGATGAAAATTAAATGTTCACCAGTTCAAGTTTGTCATCTGACATCATAACTTTCAATATAAGAACGAAGAAGAAAAAGATGAAAAAATAATAATAATAATAATAAAAAAATAATAATTAATTAATTAAAAAAAAATAATAATAATAAAGCCAAAACAACAAACCATTAGGCCAACACGTAATTTCAGTACCTTGGTAGTCCCTGTCAACTTCATCTGCGGTTGAAGCTGCGGAAGATCCCCTGAGGTTGTGGATTCGGACACCAGCGACTGCATTCTCTCAAACTGGGAACTGAAGCAGAATTTTTTTAAAAATCTAAAGTGTATTTTATTTATCTATCTTTTTTATAGTTAAGAAATACAATTTTTCCATCACACATGAGCCTAATTGTCATTTTCAGTTTTCTAGTATTTTTTATACAAGAGTTTATCAATAATTCAAATATCTAATCACACTTATCCATCATCCCTCATATCCATCTGAGAATGAATGCATACATACATACAGTGAGAATAAATACATACATTGAGTTCAAAGTCCAAACCTTTATTCATATTACTATCTATGACCCCTTGTATTAAAACGTACTGACCAAAAAAAAACATCCTCATTAGACTTTCACAAACGATAAAATAATCACACAACGAAATCTACACATCACCGTAATTAATTCCTCTCACCTGGACACTTCTCGCAGGTAAACCGACGACATAGCTTTCTTCAGATGAGGCTCGATGTTCCTCCAAAGTTTCTTGATGTCGGTGTCTGTGGCCTCTCCCTTCTCAATGGGCTCGCAGTACACTTTGAAGTTCAACTGGACCTGAAGGTGAGAGGGGTGTGAGATACACACCTGGAGGAGATTGTGTCGATACACTAAAGCCTACTTAGTTTTACATACAATAAAATATAATAATAATTAACTTTATTCCATTTATTGTAATGGTTATTCTTGATGCAACTGCCTGTCTGTTTATATCTATTTTTGCTTCAAAATTACAGACTGTCTTGAAGGAATGGCCAGGGTCACCATCCACTGAGAGTGAGTGGATTAAATGCATGTACATCTATGGAGAGTGTGGGGGATAGTTTTCATTTGCCTTGAGCAGCATCTTAAATATATTTCTTCATCAATGCATATATCTATTTATTTTTGTATTCATAAAACTGTAACAGAATGTGTTCTTTGCTAACCTACTTGTTAAATTTACATCATGTAAAATCTATACTAATGGATTTTGTATAAGAATTCCAACAATGATTTGCATGTCAGGTCACAAGCTATAATGAAAGTAACTGTGGCAGTCACCATTTAAGTGCATGTGCAGCATTTGTCTTGCTCTTTACTATACTATAGAAAAGATATTATTGCTAATCGTTTTCGTCCATTACATGAAAAAAAAAATCATCCTCTGAATTTAGAAAGTTTTCCACCATCAAAAGCTCTCACAAAAAATATAACATAATAATCCTACACTGAGATAAAACAAAACATTTAACATTTCCCAGAATATATCATCATATTCCAGGAATTATAAATCAAAATTTCCTTCTATTTCTTTTTTTTGTATCTACAATAAGTGTATGAACTTGTCACCCACCAAATGCTTCAGTTCAGGCAGGCTCTTTGTAGCGTGGTAAAACACACTCAATACCAGGTTGACGTAATTGGTGTAAAATTCTTCGGAATAATCTGTCACTCTCCGTGTCACCAGGATTCTGACCAACTCATCTGTATGAGAGAGAAAATTTGTTTCCCTTTCTTATGCCACAACCTTCAATTATACAGTTCTAAATAAATGATGGATATTAAGTGTATTCATAAAGTGATGAGTCATAATCAAAGTGCATTACAGTGAAAATAGGTAACTGAGAGAATGAATAAGTTAACTCAAAAAAACTGAAACCCTGAGAAAAGTATGAATCAAAAGGCATCAATAAGTTGCATCTCTTGCATGTCAAGTTATTCATTCTTGTTATCATTACCTTTCCTACATTTGTCAAAGGACTTCATGCAGAGTCATAAAAACTTCTGGGCTAAATATAACGAAGAACATCTCTGTCTCCTTGTACCTTAAAGCACTATCCACATCCACTGACAAAAAACAATGCCCTGCTCTACCTTTCGTGTACTGAGGAAAATGAAAGGCAATCGGCTCCATAAATCCAGTCGATGCGCGGAACTTGTCCACAGGGAGAGTGGAACACAAGATGACCACAATATTGACGTCCTGAGTTAGTTCTTGCAATCGACACAGCACAGGGAGGATGTTGGCGTCGCAGTCTCTGAGGCGCTCACTGCGTTCTAACACCTGTCAGTTGGAAGGGAAAGGGTCTTGAAATTACCGGACATAAAAAAGATGAAAATAATGATAACAGGATGATCATAAAAGAAACATCCTATATCCCTGCCCTCACAACCAACCAATTAATTGGGTGTGTATGTGTGTGTGTGTGTGTGAAAAAGAGACAGAGACAGACAGAGACAGACAGAGGCAGACAGAAAGATAATGACAGACTGATAGACAGAAAGAGAGACAAACTGACAGAGACAGAAACTTAAGAGAAGGTCAGGAAGTGGTAGACAATGAAGCGAAGAAAAAGACAGATGACAGACAGTACCAGCCGCAACTAATCTAGTTTTTTAGGCAGGATTTTAGGTGCCTCCCCATACCACTCCTACCATAGCCAATTCCACCACCAACCACTGCAACCCCCCCACACACACACACACAAAAGTAAAGTCTCCCTTCACCTTTGAAAAATGGGAAAAATGTTATCTGTAATATCATCATGAGACAGTTATTGAGACCACAGAATTTATATGCCTGAAAGGAGGGCATGAATTAGATGTGTGTGGCATCCCCATAGGCAAATTCCAGAACAAATATCCAAAATTTCATTCTTTAGCCTTTAGCCTATTTCAAGAAGAATTTGTTTTTGAAAAATGATAAATGACGACTTTATGACCATCTCCTAATACAGCAGGGAAGTCCCCCAATAGATTTTTTCTTTGCCCATTTGGGGTGCTGGTGACCCTCTTATATATCCTACTCTAGCAATAAATGACAATGGTAGAGAAGATAATGACAATAAACTTACTGATAATAATGACAATAATGCTCATCAAAATATCACATTAAAATGTAAATTTCCAAATTCTGACATTCTAATTTTGAAATGTAAAAATCATCAAATAATACCTCCCCACTTTCAAAACCCTAATACAAATAGTTTAATAAAACAATAATAATACTAACACAAACCCAAACAAACCTTTAAAACAAATCTTCCTTCTGCCTGAAATCAAATTCATTTCTAACCTTGAACCAAATCCCACAAACTTACAATAGCCATTCGTGGGTCTCCTCTCTCCTTCGCAATTTCCCGGACGTGTCTTGTGAAATCCCCGAGGTTGTCACAGGAGGCGTAGGAAGTGTAGTTGTTGTTGCTGGAGGGCACCGTACCTGGGAAGAAAAAGGATATAAAAAGATTATTTGGTACAAGAAGAAACAGGAGGAGGAGGAGGAAGAGGAGGAGGAGGAAGAAGAGGCAGAAGAGGAGGAGGAGGAAGAAGAGGAAGAAGAGGAAGAAGAGGAAGAAGAGGAGGAGGAGGAGGAAGAAGAAGAAGAAGAAGAAGAAGAAGAAGAAGAAGAAGAAGAAGAAGAAGAAGAAGAAGAAGAAGAAGAAGAAGAAGAAGAAGAA